GCCTCTGCCCACCAGGAGAGTGAAGTGGTGGGGCCTGGAGGCTGGATGCAGGCCAGGGCTCTGTGGCCTGCTGGGCCAGCTTGGGGCGCTGCGGGCCCTACCCCCACAGCCCCCCACCCCCACCCAGGGCCTGTGCGCTCTGCCGACTCCCTCACTTGGGGCCTGGCCCACTTCTTCCTTCCTACGGATTTTCAGTTTCCGGAAAGGTCTAGGCTTCTTGATGAACCTTTGGGGAGGTCTGGCTCTGTAAGTTGGGGGCTTTACCTCGCCTCCAGGCAGAGAACTCACCCCAGGTTCTGCCAGGCCTGGGCTCCCTCCCCCAGGCCCACCTCCCCCCACCCAGCCTCAGGGGGCTGTCAGCAGGGTCCTGAGGTGGGGTGCACCCGCCCCCTGCCCTGGAGCTCTGGCGGCAGGACCAGTCCGGGTAGCTCCCAGAGAAGCCGGCCAGGGCTTCCCAGACCTGGACACTGAGCTCTGGGCCCCTCCGGGCTCAGGAGCCCTGTGGCCACCCACCGCCTTCTAGGAGCGCCAGCATTCCCAAGGGGTCTGGCCTGTCCGTGCCTGCCAAGTGCCTGCCAAGTGCCCTTCGATCCATCCGCGCTCTCCAGCCCCTGCTCTCCTCCCCAGTGTGTGCGGGGGCTCCTGGCTCCCCCAGTTCCAGACGGACCCTGTCGCCTCTCCCCCACTGTCCCTCGGTCCGACAGCCCCACAGCCCCCCAGGCCAGGCAGCCCCGGCTCGCTCCGCAGCCACCTGCCCGGCTGCGCAGTGCTGCCCCTGCAGTGCGTGTCCTCAGGGCCCGCTGGCTTTCCGGCCCTAGACAGCCCCTGACTTAGCCGAGCGCGCTCCGCCCTGACGCTGTTCCGCTGCCTCTCGGGCCAGCTGTCCTGCCCTCCCAGTGATGGCCTCAGCTCTCAGGGCTTCAGTGTCCCCCACCCCAGCAGGCACTGCACTCTGGATCCAGGTGCCCTGACCACGAACCCCAGCTCTGCCGCTGCCTGCCTGTGTGACCCACGAGTCCCTCCCCTCTCTGTGCCTCTGCACCGGCATCTGAGGGGGGCAGTCGGGGTGCTGATCTTCTCCTGGGGCCACCGCCGGGCCCAGCACACACTGCCACAACCCCACGTCCACAGTGGACCATCCCTCCATGTTGGGGGCCCCGGGCCCCGCTGCTTGCCACTGGGAGCCTGCAGGTTCCTGCCGCTTCTCTGTGAATTCAATTCTTCGTAGCCGGTGGCTTGGGTCCCGCCACGCTGCTGGGGCCTCAGGGCTCGCTCGCAGCCTGGCCCTGTGTCCGGACGCGCCTTTCACTGTCACTCAGGTCCAATGGGTTGCTAACAAAATATTTATACATACAAGAACTGGAGTACTAACCAGAGCTACGGGGGTGGGGGTGGGGTGAGAGGACTCCCCAGAGACAGAGCGGGAGCGGAACAGACAGTTCCACTGAGCCCCACTGGGGCGGAGCAGCGGGGGCCAGGAGGGGTCTGCTGCGCCCTGGGGTCACTCCCTGGCCGGGGATGCGACTGGGCTGCAGCGGCTGCGTCAGCTGCACAGTGCTGCGCTTCAGCCCCTGCGCCGCCGAGGCCTTTAAAGCGTGTACTGAAAGCGTCTAGGCCGGGCACAGGAGGGCACGGGACAGGGCTCTGCCCTCGTGGTGGACGCTGCCACACAGATTGTTGGCTCAACGCTGACCGTGCCAGCATGGGGGGCGCAGGGGTCTCAGGTCCTGGTCTGGAGTCCTAGAGCCCCTGAAAGTGAGGAGTTGGTAGAAAGAGTGGGAAGGGCAGATGGAAGGTGAAACGGGGGCGGGGAGAAGGAGGAGGGCCAGCCCGCGACGAGCGGGGGCGGCACTGGGCACCGTCAGCACGTGCAGCGGACACCGCGCAGCGGGGGATGCGACCGGGGCCAAGAAGTACGGTCACTGGGGAGCCTGGAAGCCAGCTGGCCTTCACCCACTCTCACTGTGGTGTGGGGGTCAATGGACAGCTACCCTGAGGGACGCACCCACAGAGCTGCGGGGGCGACAGTGGGTGGACTGTGGAGACAGGCGAGTAAGGTAACGGCTGGGTGAGGACAAGAAGCCTGGGGGTCCTGAGAGTGGGGTGTGGGCACGGGGGGCACCAGGTGGACGCGTGTCCAGGAGACAGGAGCTGGCGAGGTGGTAGAGGGCAGACGGGAGGGAGGGGCCCTGGGGACTGAAGGCTGCCCCTTGAAAAGGGGTTCCGAGTGGGGGGTCTCCTGGTGCCTGCTCCCCGTCAGCTGTGGACAGGGACCCCAGCAACCTCCCCCCAGCACACGTGTGCGGGGGCACAGTGCTCCCAGCTGACATCCCAGTGTGTGTTCTGGGGATACAGGAAGGGGACAGCTCCCTGCCTAATGCTTAAGTGCTAAAGGCAGCGGCAGTCCTGGGCATGAACTTGAACTTTCCTGAAGCACTGTCGTTTTCGCCCGAACTCACCTTCAAACCTTATGCGTCATCTTGCCTCATCCCTCGCCTCCAGCCCCCACGTTCCCATGGCTGCCAAGCCTGGTGGATTTTTCCTTTAGCGATTCCTTTCTCCCACGCTCAGGGACCCACGCTGAAGCGGCTGCCCCGCCGGCCCTGTGGCCACTGCAGCTGCCTCTGCCCTATCTCCCTGTCCTGCTCTGCCCGTCTGCTAGGCAGGAATGCCCAGGGCCTGGGGGCACCAGCCAGCAGCTCTTCTCTGGGCACGGGC